ACTCCCAGCATGGCTCAGCCCTGCCCTGGAGCCCAACTGGGGCTTTCCTGAGGGGTGTTCAGGTGTGTAGTGGTGGCATTAATWACCTTCAGCTGTTACCAGTTAGTGTTCAGTATGCAAGCTGTGCCATTTGAAGTTATTCTTGGGCTGTTAAAARGTAAGCTTGCTTTCTAAGAGTAAATTTTTCTTCCAGAATAGACTTGGAAGTGCAGCAAGAACACCTTACTGCTGTGCAAACTCTTCCTTACCTCTGTGTATGTGGTGTCTTCAGTGCTTGAAGGAGTGTAGGGACTGGAGGTTAGAAAAAGTCTTTGGAAACAGAGGTAAGACAAGTTCATTAGAGAAGGTGCCTTTTGCTGAATTGTAGCTGGAATCTAATCTTGCTGGGGAAATAAAAAAGTTATTTTTCAGCTGAAGCAGTTTAGCAAATTGCCCCATCCAGCTGGGATGAGGTGACTTGTTCCAAGACTGCCCCAGCTCAGTGCTCCCACCAAAGGGCAAGTCCCAGTCTCTGCTGGCCTCTGCCTGGCTGACTGTTCACTTAACAAGGCAGAGGAGCACTGGGTTTCTAGTCATGTAAGTAAAACAAAGAAAAACCATGTGCTTGCAGGGTGGAAATAAAATTATTTAAGCACCTACCTCATGCCACTGCTGGGCTGGTAGCTCAGGGCTGTTAACYACAGACACATTTTGGTAGTGTCTGCAAATGGCAGCTATAGGAGAAGGAAGCAATTTTTAGCTCAGCTGAAGTCAGGATTCTTCCRAGGACAGGAATTGCAAACTCTATCTTTTTGTTTTTAAGACAAACCTGTCCCTTCATGTATAGCTGCATWAAAAGCCCACCATATCTGAATGAAGCTGCTTTTCTGTGGGAAGGATGGCCAAGTAGGGCTAAAACTCTGCACTGCMACTTTTGAAAGTGCTGTTAAAACTTCTCTCTCCTGCAATGCAAATGTTTGTTTGTTCTTGCAGTCTGCCTACTCAACACATGACTGCTGCTGAATCCCAGCTCCAGGCAGTAAGGCTGAGTACGACAGTATTCCAGTCCCCTGAGTGATGCTGAATTTTTTTAAGGAATCCTTCAGTTTGAATCCAGAGCTAAGCAATTACTCAGTGCATTAAAAGAAAGGTAGGTTGTACAGAGAATACTCACCACTAGAGGACAGGTTTTACAGATACATAGCGATAAAACTAAGGAAATCCCTCTCCCATGGCTGATAGCAATTAATTGATGCCCTAACAATTAAGAACTGGTTTAAGTTATGATTTCCGTCCCTGCTGACGGGGTGTGGCCGGCGCGGCACCGCGGGGCTCCAGCCGGTGTCCGGTGTCCGGCCGGATCCCGCTCCGCTCGCCGCAGCCTTTGGCCGCCACCTGCTGGGAGCCGCGCCCCGCTCAGGCCCTGCCGAGCTCYGGGACCTCCTTCCCTCTGCCTGTGCCTTGGTCTCGCCACCCCCGAACCGGTGGGGTCAATCCCCGGGCCTGCGGAGACTGAAGGAGAGGTGCGGTGTGGGAATGCAGAAGGTGACCCAAGTTCAGAGAGCTGCAGCAGCAACAAGGAAGYGGTAAGTCACCAGTGGTCACACAGCACGTCACCAAAGCCTGGCACAGGACATGGAAACATTCCCATGGGTGGTGAGTCTGGGCTGCATTGTTTTATAATGGACGGAATTAAAGAATTCTGTGGTCTGTAATTTCAAAGTGTCTCACCAAGAACCAATTTTAAATACGCATCCAGACATTGACTTCTATTCATAGACTTTGCTTTAACCACAGAAACCACCCTTGTCTTGGCACACATACATACTGGCCCTGTCGAATATTGCCAGCATATGCTGTGCCGAAAGAAACTGTAATTATCTGATCTCTGGCTGTATCACCACAGAAAGAGAAACCAAAGAAAGGCAACTGGGAAGCAATGTGGAGTCTTTTGAGAATAAAATCTGCAGACTTCACCWCCACTAGCTGCTACTTAAAGTGATGGCTAAACCCAAAATACAGAATTGTTGGGTTTTACATTTTGCCTTTATATAAAGGGAAAAAATGATCTTGTGACTGCTTTCTTTGAGAGCATTTCTGTGTTCAGGAACTCCAGTCATGAACTCGTACTCTCCTCTTAGAAGCAGCTCTTCAGCCATCTGCAATTCCTGTTGACCTGCTTTCAGTGGCAGGAGCTACACCTCATCTAGACCCCCTTTCCCACAAAAGTTTGGGCCAGATGATCTTCTGAGACCCCTTCCAACCCAGCTCCATACAGCCACAACAGCTAATAACATCCTGTACTGAGCTGGACTAAAAGGACAGTAGAAAACAAACTTTCAAAGCAATCAGAGCCACGTGGGGTGGCTGCCACAAGCTAGGTATAGGCTGAACATTATTTGCCAGACCCTCCTGCCTATGAGAACTGTGGAGTTCAGTTGTGTAAAATGTTCATTGTTCCCCAAAGAATCAGGAGTTATGGCCATCTTTTCCTCCATCTCCTTTCTGTCCCATGTTTGTTTTACCAAAAGTAATCTCAACTTACTCAGGGCTTTGTCTTGTAATCAGTCATTCGAAGTGTTCCCTCAGGCCCATTTGTTGCAGGACTTAAGGTATTGCTGAGATCAAACAATATGAAATCCTCAGAGCTGTGAAAATACAGGATTTCCTGGCTCAGAGCTACTAACCCTACTCTCTATTTTCACTAAGGTAGCACAGAGCTACAATAAAACCACATGCCAAGGGACTGCAAAAAGAAACAGGCACCTGGGACAAGAATATATAGTCTTGGTATGGTTGGAAGGTACCAGAAATACTCACATTGAAACATAACAGCAAAAATCCTTCAGTCTACTACTTACCTTTAGAAAGGCCCATGTTTAAAACACAACTATTTGCACACAACACATCAGRTAAATCACGTCTTCAATTTGCTGTGAGGCAAGATTTTCCTACCAGCTATTAATAGATGCTGACTTCCTTTTCAAAACCAACGAGAGCTAATGAAAAAAGTACAGAGGTTTGTTTGTGTGTGCTGCTGATGCCACAGGGCATTTGCTCCTTGGGCAGTTTCCTGCTGAGATGGGAAGAAAGGAAAATGGTGTTGGCCTCTGTATCCGAGGAGGCCCCGCAGCACCGCGTGCTCTGCTGGCTGCCAGGGCACACGGACCATGGGAACACCACAGCACTCAGCCAACAATGCACAGGTCAGTGTGGAAAGAGGAGCACAGAGCTGACATTGAGGCAGAGCTCGGGGTTTGGAGGGGAAAGCGCAGCAAAGCCCCAGTCCTGGAATCTCAACAGGGAGAGGCAACTCATCCAGCACGGATGTGGGGGAGAGCGCAAACATCCTGCTCTGGAAGGCAGCACAACAGGCAATGTGGCTGTGGAAGGAGGAAGGAAGGGAAATTCCCAGTTASAGGCACAGGGCAGGGAAGGCTGTCAGCTGTGACAGCAGGAGAGGGCAACAGGATGTCACGGGAGAGGGTACAAACAAAATTACCACCTACCAGAAAGGTCAGAGAGCATGAGAATGTAGTGCTGATCAGAAGGGGGCTGACCTACACACACACAGATCTGAGCAACKTGAAAGAAGCTGGGGGAGTAGAATAAACAGATGTGCAAGTCAGAGTGTTCTAAATCTCTATGTCTGACCCCTGTAACAGGGACCACCATTTCCCTGCCAGCAATTCCAGCAATTCCAGTTTCTGCTAAACCATAAACACAGCAGCAATCCGTGCTGAAATACTTCAGGTCATCACAGCTTGCTTCATTCTTTGCTTATCAGTTATTCTTCTTTAGGTACCGCTGTAGTTACAACAGGAAGAAAACTGCTGTGGCTGTTTACAGCAGTGCTGAGGATGGAGATGATGAGCTGGAAAGGAGGGAAGGGGGGAGTGTGGGTAGCAGGGCTCATGGTTGTGATGACTCTTGARGTGTGATCTTTCAAAGGACAGGAAGGCAGAGTGTCATGGAGAGCAAAAGAGACGAAGACAGAGCTTGGTCTCAACAGGAAGGTGGCAGATGACACACAACACTACATGCCCATGTTCTAGCAGCTGACAGCATTCCTGCACTCAAATGGCTTCAGCTGATCTCACTGAATACTTTTAACTATATTCAAGTAGTTGAGACTGTAAGGCAGAAAACCCCCTGAAGAATCTTTAGCAAAAGAAGATGGGAAAAACATGTCCACTAACACCTCACAGAAAATGGAARTGGTCAAGAGGGAAAAACTAACCTGCAAACAAAACACCTCCCACAAGCCCCGCGCTGGTGTCAGACATCAGCTACAAMACCTCAGGTCTCGCTCACAGCCACAAGCACAACACCGGCCCGACTTCCTGCTCCCATTTCCTGCAGGGGAGCGGGGAGCTCGGTTTCATTGTGACAGAGCCAGAAACCTTAAGCCACTGAGTAAGCAGAATGTGCTATGCCAAGGACTTTAAAATTTCTGGTGTCTTTTAGTAGATTTGGAGTACCTGTGAACTTTAACAACTGCTGTCACTGTTCAGTGACTCCTCCAATTTCCCCTAAGGAAGCAAGAACATCTTCAGCCTGACAGACTGCTCAGCACTCTGGGGGGCAGAGGCAGCTGTCCGTGCTCCATGGGGGCCCAAAGGGTGGTAGCAAAGCTCAGAGCTCGAGGCACAGGTGCTGTCAGCTGTACTGGTACTGCCTCTCACCCACTTGGACGCCTCAGAGCAGGAAACTCATGGCTTTGGCCATGTGAMACTTTGGGACAGTAACCCAGGGGACACCAACCCCTGCCCCCCAACTCAGCTGCCAAAACACACCAGCACAAGGGGCGAGCAGTGATGGCAGCCATGGCCCAGGCCAAACAACTGCTCTTGGTGCAGGAAAAGAACCAAGGCGGGGTGTGATTCTGCAGTAGGAATGATAATTTCATCAGCCTTGAAAAACTTCACATCTGTTACAAGTACCTCACAAAAACTCAGCTAGGGAAGGAAATACTTATTTACATATCATGAACTTTAAAAAATATGTACAACTAGAGTCCACTTCTCATTAAGCAAACGTACACTGGCAGGTACTGCACTCTCAGCCAATGCTCTAATGCTGAATGGTAGAGATGAGAACGCATATAACAGGGGTACAAAGCTGAGAATCAGCTGCCAAGTACAGCAACATKAACCTCATGGTATTTCTCTGCCACTTGACAAATTCCAAGTTTTCAAGGCAACTAGATAAAGAACTTGACCTCTGGAATGAGAAGTTGCTTTGTGTTTCCCTATTTTTAGAGGTAACTCACATGGGGCTTGGTGATTTTTGGTGACTCCAAACCCCATCAGATGATGTCAGACAGGCAGAAGTTACCAAGCTCATTACTGTAATAACCAGGCTAATTATTATCCCCTTTCGGACACCTCACAAATTGGCCAGTGTCTCTSCCCAACATTTGGTATCAATCTAACTGTTTTAGTAACTTAAATCAAGAGTATACTTCTTGTGAAACTTTTCAAACTCACTCCAAAATCTGGAATTCCACTCAACTGCCTAGCATTTATCATTATTATATAAAAACACATAACAATACATTTTTTAAAACATCCTGTTATTTTGTGGTATTACCTGAACTATTAAAGGCAGATTGTTAGGAAATAATCATTGTATAGAAACGCCCTTCCCCTTCCCCCGGGGCAAGTGCAGATTCCTAAAGGGAAGAGGCTCCTGCCCGCAGTGCAGCCCGCGGCCCGCAGAGGGCAGCACTCGGCTGCCCTGGAGGCGCTGTCCCAGCGAGACAAACAAACCGACACCAGGACGTCTGACAAAGTCATTTTAATGGAAAATGTAAAACCCCTTTCAACTTCAATGTACAAAGCATGTGTAACACTTGAACTTTTAACAAATTAAAGCAAGCCAATGTCTTAAAAAAATACATCATTGAATGTATATATGTATATATTTACATAGCATATTAAGTTTAATATTTAAGCTTTAAAAGTTCACATAAATTTTACCAAAATGAAACAATTTTTAAATAAATTACACCTTTTGAAAACGTTTAATTGTACACTGAATAGCTTCAATAAAATACTGAAGTGTCTGTATTTAATATCTACTTTATATACTTTATATTTTACAAAGTTTACAATTATTTGGCAGTAATTTTCAGATTATGACATGACTGCTGTGCGGACTCAGCAAGATCCCAAATGCAGGCAATAGCTGGTGTTTGTGTCCTACTCTCACAGTAACTTGTCTCAATGTAGTGAAAAATATCTGAATTATTTTAGCAAACTGTACAAGTCACATTTACATTTGATCAACAATATAGCATAGAATTTTGTTGTTTTTTCCAAAAATAAATACATCATCTTAAATCTTTGACATTTCACAAACTTCATGTACATTATAATACAGACAGCAGAACACTGCTCAACTGTTTGCAAGTGGAACATGGAATCACAGTGGCTGTGATATGAAGCTCTACCATCGCAGTGTCATTAACAAGTAAATACGATGACTGTGTTTTCTTGGCACTGATGGCTTGTGAAGCTTTAAATTAGTGTGCATACCGTTCATAGATCAGCGGAAATAACCTCCATGTGATGCTAACTCCAAAAAGCAGAGCGTGCTCAGTTCTCATCCATCTCTTCCATTTCACCTTCGTGAATCTTCAAAGCTCTCACCATTTCTTTGACTGCGTGATACAAGATATTTTTAACCTGCAAGAACATGGGACAGATTTTAGTAAGGCCTACAGCTGAGGAASTCTCTGAGGTTTAGGACTGAGCCCTAAGCAGAGTGGATGAAAAAAAAAGGCTTCAAAAAAGAAAGGCTTCATGAAGCCAGTGCAAAATGGAACAGCTTTCTACACATTTTAAAATGTGATGTGAAATAAAACCAGCAACTCAAGGGAGAGTCATTTACAGCCCTGGCATTCACGCTGCTGCTCATTGTTATTCTGTGTGAACAGCAGCGAGGAAGTAGCTCCACGCACTGCTCGGCATTTCAATGAGCCTGAGCACGCCCTGCCTTCCCAGCCGCTTCCAGAGCAGCATTCATTTCCTACCTGCAGTTTATCATCGTAATTGATTTCTTCCTTTGACAGCCTCAGCTCCTGCGTTAAGTGAAATGACTGTACAAGATGTTCTGGAGACACAAAGTCTTCAGTTACTTGAACGCAGCTGTGAAAATTTTGCACCTATCCAAAATAACAAGAAGAAACTGATAATTAGTATTTGGGGTTATTCTTTGGCAGAGGTACCTGAGAAAAGAGTGGCTCTTGAGATCCCTTAACCACAGCCTTATCAGACTAAAGGGCATCTTTTTCCAGGTAGAGAGCAATTAAGTGTATTTGACTTATCTAAGTTGGCTTCTGGCAAAAGGCAGGCTTTGAACAGCGCACGGCACAGTGCGCCGGCATGAATTGCACAGAGCCGCGTTATCCCTCCCTCCCTCCCTCCCTCCCTTCGCCAGCTGCACCAGTGCTGCTGCTGCTGCTGCTGCTGCCACAGCCTCACAGCGCAGGCGCTGCATCTGCGACCCACCCGGAGAGCCCTGCCCTGCACAACCCGGCTCCTCTGGCCACGCACACACAGCCTGGCAGCTGGCATGCTCACGGAAAAGGAACTGCCCATAGAAACATTTGAACCAAACAAAAAAGTCATGAACAAAGAAAGGGAGAGGCTGAGAGGCAGGGGAAAAAAAAGCACTTTCTTCTTTCTAAACACTGCTCCTTACTGATGTGAGTAACTACTGAGAACAGATCTCCTACCACCCAGGTTATAACTGGAGGACAGGGGAAAGGAAAAATGCCTCCTGGTTGTGACCCAACCAACACCAGTCTGTTCCCTTCAGAAACATACAGCATCGCGTTTTCACCCCTAAACCCTTGCAAATTAGACTGCAATTTGTAATTCAGCATGTCAAAACCCTTGTTTTCCCAAATTCCAACAACTTCTCACGAAAGTTGTGTAACATCAATTCGAATTCCCAAAGCCTGGGTGTGGGGAGACAGAGCTTTGGCAATCCCAGCAAACGCCCCATCCCACCCTGCTCAGGACTGATGGAGATCTGCATATTTTAAAGTCAAACCTAGCAAAATATAAATAAATGCATACTCTAAAATTTCCTTTATGATACCTGACATTCAAATAAACCACCGGGGCTCACACAGCTGAGGACACAGGACTTCATTTAAAAATTACTTTCTTGTTCAGAACCCCTGCATGAGTCAGATTTTACACAGCAGCTCCCCCCACTACAGCTGGCAGGTAACCCCCAGCTCAGCACTCATGGTGCACAAGGCATTTCTGCAGGCTCCTCATCACCAAGGACAAAGCAGTGCTGGTCCCTCCTAAGAATTAATCAAAACAGAAGTCACTCTGGAGATGAGGAGGGTTTGAAGATGCCACCAAATGTGCAAATGGCAGAAGCCAGGAGCAAGGCAGCAGCTGCAGAAGTGCCACCATGAGGCTCCCACCAGCACTCAGATTCCCAGAGCCTGGGCTAAGGTGCCTCTGCATTGTGCAGCTCCAGCCCTCTCCCCTCCCTCACAGGATTCTCACCTCTTTCAAGTCTCTACGTGCCCTCGTTTTCCTTGCCAGCCCATGCAAATC